AGGCTGGCCCCATAAATTAAAAAATTTTGTCAGCAAAGAAATAGGTGATATAAAAAAGAATCATATGAAAATTATAGAACTGTATTATAATCACAAAAATAAACCAAAAGTGAAAAAAAAACCCCACCAAACGCCAACAAGCTTCCTGGATGGGTTCCATAGAAGAAGGGAGATGACAAAGACAGGATCGGTGAGCCTGACGACAGAGTTGTAGAATTTACCCAAGCTGAAAAACAGGGAGACAACAGACTGGGAGAAATACAGACAAAACCATCTCTGGGCCTGCGGGACAACACCACAGGAGCTGACATCGGTATCCTCGGAGCTCCAGAAGGAGGAGAGAGAGGGAGACTGAAAAATATTTGAAGAAATAATGGCTGAAACCTTTCCAAATATAGCAAATAGGATAAACCCAAGGAAGTTCATGCCAGGACACTTCTAATTAAACACACATGATGTCATATCCCAGAGTGTGCTAGAGTGGGCTCTGCCACGGAGCATCCACACAGGCCATGTGACAAAGAGGGACATGCCACCACCCACAGACACAGCCTCCCAGTGACTCCTAGTGAGTCCTTCCTGCTGTTCAGATGAGGTCCTGGCCTGCAAGGATGGATGGGGACAGTTCCTGGGAGGGTCACAGATTAGCTGGGGAGGTGGACTCATCGACAATCCACCATGGTGAGTTTATGATGAGTTTGTCCCTGCTGCTCCAATGAGGCTTGCCTACTGAGAAATCCCTCCTACCCTACACGTCTGTAAAGTGGGTGTACAAGCTCCTGGGCTCTCTGAGTGCAGGACACAAATAACATAGAAGATAGTTTTATAAACACCTTTTTTTTTTTTAACATTTTAAAGAGTTGGAGCCAGTTCCTCCCTACTTTTGTGGCTCTGCCGCTCTGACTTCAGACTCCTGGTGATGATCTGCTCAGCTGGATGGTCCCCTCTCTCTTGGCATCAGGACTCCATGCAGTGAATGCAAGAGATGGTTTAAGAAAATGATTGTCCATTTCTACAGCTCAACACTCAAGGGAGGTGAGGCCTCTCCCATGTGTTCTGGGTTTCTTGGCACGTCTTTGAAACTGTTTAGCGATCTCGTGAAATTACCTGCTGAAGGTGAGTTTCTTTTCCCTGTAAGGACTCTAGAATAATACCTTGACAAATTCAGAATTTCATAGACTATATAAGTCATCTCCATCCCTGAATGCTTGCCTGTAAACAGCTGGCAACTCATAAATTCTTTTTAGTAAGTTTAAAGGCAATAGACACTTAGACTTTAGTAGTTTTGATATTCCTGCAAAAGGCTCGCAGGCTCACATACATTTACACATCGGCCGGATGGCGGACTGGCGGGTGAAGCCCCATGTCCTCCGGGAGCTCCAGCTTGCAGGAGCAGGCAGGGCGGCTTGTGGGCAGCCTCAAGCACGGACTCAAATGGGCTTCAGAGGCCACACCAGGAGCCTGGGTGTGCCACCACCCAGGTACAGGATGTAAGGGGACACTGCACCTGTTGCAGCAACCTTGCGTGCAGCCTGTGGAGTTATCTGACCAAGCCAGGTTCCGGATCTCTTATTTGATTATTTTGTACCTTTCCTCCCTAACCCCACCTGCCTGCGCTCTCAGCTGGGACTTTCCCTTTTCCCTCTTCCCTTCCTCACCAGACCCTCAACGCTGACTTCTTCTGCGCACACCTTCTCTTTTCCTCTCCTGGGACAACTAACCTTCCCTCTCTCTCACCAAAGTGCAGTTCTCTGTGTGCGTCCTGGCCCCTGTCTTTTCTTACTTTCTCTATCATTTCCGATCTTCTCTCCCTACGGGATCATTCTCAATCCCTTAAAAGTGCTTTAGTATCTTCCATCCCTGAAAATAACAAGGTCTCAATCCAAGGCTTCTCCAGCTGCTGGACGCCAGGCCCAGCGCCTCTTGCGTGGGCCACTTCCTTCCCACGCTCACAGTTCATTCTCAACCTGCACCACCACATGGTTTTCTGTAATCGTAAACTGAGCATGTTCTAAACCTTCCGGTGGTTTCTCCTTGCACTTCAGATAAAAAATCCCAACTCCTACAACTGGCCTTCCAGGCGTGGCGTGACCTGTTCCATCTGTCCCCCACCCACTCCAGAACCCCCTTCCCTGCGACTACTCCATTCCAGCCACTGACCCTCCCATGATAGCTTGAAGACACCAAACTCCTCTCTGCCTTAAGAACCTTGCCTGTTTGCTCTGCAGAAATGCTCGTCCTCATGCTGTTTATATGGACGTCATAACTGTGCCATCCTCACACAGGAGAATGCCACCCAACCCCATTTACATTATATCCCTGCACGGGGTTTACCCAAAACCACCTCAACAGAAGCCTTTCACCACAGATTACGTGGGCCACGGGATTACGAGCTGGGAGCCCACGTCTTTCCTTCCCTTTGGCTGGGATCCAATTGCTTCCCTGTTATTTGCTGGTCAGGTGCTTCACAGTTCTTTACCATTCTGGCTGCTAGTAAGAGCTCGAGTAAATAAACTTCGTTTAGGAGAAGTAACATTAGCCAGCTTTGATCTGACATTGACATTGTTTTTCTGCAATGAGCCCTTCTCAGTCAGTGGGCTGGTTAGCCCATGCAAGGGACAGGCTGGGACAGACACTCCCACATTGTAGGGCTTAATGCAATCCCAAAGTTTCTCATGCACAGCACAGTCCTGTGTGGGTCGAGGGGTCTTCTGCTCCACGTGGTCACTCAGGACGCCAGGCTCCTTCTGTCCTGGTTCCTGGAGTTCTCTCCCTTCACCTGGCAGATGGGAGAAAAGAGCAGGGATTCCGTGTAGATTCATGGGCAGGTCAGGGACGGTGCACGTCACTTCTGCTCACACGCCATTGTCCAGAACTCAGTCACAGAGCCTCATCTGATGCTCCAAGAAGCTGGTAAACACCGCCGACAGGGATGTGCCAGCAAGAAAGGAGAGCACAGGTATAGGTGAGAATTAGCCATTTCTGCCGCATCAGCACAATCTCGCAAATCTAGAAAGCATCCTCAGTTCAGATGTGTCAATAAACCCAGAAAACAAAGGCAAACCTAAACACGAGCCGACAGTCCAAAGCCAAAACCATTTGGAGAAAGAAAACATGGTCTCAAAAGTGGTCTCCAAGCTAATCTATACCAGCCAGCATCTGTCGTAACCACAGTCCCAAGTCAGTGGTCAGCCCAGCTACAGACCTGCAGCTGCTCAGTGCTGCCAACGGGACGTGGTACCCACGGCAATGCACTGAGTCACCAACCGCAGTTGCTGGCCTGCCTGAGTCAGAGCCATCTGCTCGGGGGGCTGCCACATAATCAGGCCCCCCCAGGCAGGGTACAGGTGCCAAGCCAAAGATGGCTGATTGGGAAATCCCAGATTGGACATCTGCTCTTTCGAGAGGTCCTCTGGGTTGGCCCACCACCCCAGCAGGCCTCCCCTCCTTGCTTCCCTCAACAATAGAAGAAAGGATGCTTCCAGATGCTTCTGGCTGCCAGAGCCCTGGCTGTCTTTCTCTGAGGGCCTCGGACACCCCCGAGGCTGAGTTGGGAGCCGAATGCGTGCCCTCGAAAAGCTCTGCTGGGACTTTCTGGGTGGAAGCCATGGTTTCCAAGGGGACAAAGTAGCCTGCAAAAGAAGCGTCCAGATGATGCCAGATAAGCTTGGGCCATGCCCAAGGGAAGGCAGGGCAGAGGGAGCGGCAGCTTCACATATGGGCCAGAAGCCCGGGAAAGAAAACACGAGGCTGGCTGGTTTCATCCCATGGAAGTGGCAGAGAGCGTGGTTCCAGTGCCCAGGCGGGGCTGGCCCAATCGGAATTTCCCACTCCACCTCTAAGCTGTGTCACACTGGGAAAGTGGCCTGATTCCACTCTGCCTCAGTCTCCTCCCCCATAAAATGCAGATGATCACCCCTAGGTTTGTTAGGAGGGCTGAGTTACATAAAATGCTTGCACAGGCCTCACCCCCAGTGGGAACTCATGGATGTCATAGGCTGTTGTCATTTACTAGACAAGACTTCCCATGCGAGAACCTGAGCCCGCACACCCGGCCCTCCCTCCGTGTGAACCCTCGGCATGTGCACACCTGGACCTACGCTGTCCAACACCGAGGTCCTGGCCACATATGACCACTTACAAGTAAATTTAAATTCGTTCAAGTGAAATTAACCTGAGAATCAAGTTCCTCTGTGCTTCATAGCCACGTGTGGCTAGCAGCTACCACGGTGGACGTCACCAATACAGAACATCTGCATCCTCGCAGAAAGCTCTGTTGGAGGGTGCTGATCCAGACAGGAGCAAATGGACAAGGAGGTGCTGCTTCCCCGCCTGCTGACCTGAGTCGGGGAGGACCGTTTCTGGAACTCATCAGGGCACCATAGGGGGCACGGGGGCTGCTCAGTGGTCTCTGCCATGTGGTCACAGATGGGAAGGGGCCGGAAAAGAAAACCCAGACGCATCAGAGACAGACGCTTGACTGCCAGGGAACGTGCCCCTGCCAATATCTGGGCCGATTTCGGGGACCTCAGTGGGGTCCCTTCTGTTGGAAGTGCAGAATGGGCCTGAGAAGCGAGGCAGATCCTCACACTCAGAGCAGGTCCGTCTTTTGAAGAGAAATAGAGGAATGAGGCCGTCGGGAAGAAACAACAACAACAACAATAATAATATAACAAAAGCAGGTAATAATTATTAAGCATGTGAAACATTTCAGGCCTGTTTCCAAATAACAAACGTGCATTTGTGCATTCTAAACCAACGGTAACTCCATGGGGTAGGTATGACTCTTATTTCCATTTCACAGATGACGAGACGGAAACAGGTTCGGTAACTGCTAAAGGTCACATAACTACGGAGAAGCAGAACTGGATTTGAACCCCCCACCCCTACCCCCGCCCCCCGCATTAGGACTCCGGAGCGTGCACACTGTCCACCTGCTCTGCCTGCTGAGTTCTAACCTGTAGCCTCCCAGAGTCTCTGGGAGAGGGTCCTTCTCCGAGATGTGTGTGCACGTGTGCCTCTCTATGCACGTGAGCAGCGTTTACAATATCAGTATGTTTTACGTGCTTTCGTGTTTATAACAAAAGTCACAAACAGATGGCCTGATGCCTCCTTTTTTTTTTTTTTTTTTGGCCTAAGTGTTTTGGGGAAAAAAAGTACAATATTTTAAAGGGGTATATTTAAATTTTTTTTTCTACTTTCAGGTTTTCTTGAAAAATGGGAAGCTCTGGCAACTCTCTGCCCACCTTCTTATATGTAACTGTTAGCTGGAACTGAGTATCGGGGTTCCATTTAAGCAACATGAGCCCCTTCCTCCCAAACACCCACACATTTCTCCTGTAGGCACTTCTTTTACAGCTTTATAGAGCTATAATTGACATGCAAATAACTTCACATATTTACAGTATACAATTTGTTGAGTTTTGATATATGTGAACATCCGTGAAACCACCACCAAAATCAAAATAATGAACACATCCATCACCCCCAAAAGATCCCTATTTCCCTCACATCTACCCCCCCAGGCAACCACTGGTATACTTCCTGTCACTGTAGGTTTGCTTGCCTCTTCTAGAATTTTATATACACAAAAGCATGTAGTATACATTCTTTTATCTGGCTTCTTTCACTATATAACTATTTGGGATTCATCCATTTTCTTCTGTGTCAGTAGTCCATTCCTTGATTGATGAGCAGTACTCCATTGTATGGATCCGCCACTGTCTGTCTATCTGTTCCCATGGGGCTGGACATTCAGGTGGCTTTCAGATTTCAGCTATTTCTAATAAGTCACTATGAACACCCATGCACAAGTCTTTGTGTGGACTCGTGTGTGGAACCGTGTCTATGCCCATGGCCACGTCCACTCCACCGGGCAATGTGTTATCAGGCCCACGCACGCCTGACTGAGTCCCTGGGATAAGAGTGAGCGGCTCATCTAATCCGCAGGAGGTCTCCTTTCCTCTGTCCTGTCTACACCCTCTCTACAGCTTTAATCTGCTTGTGGATGCACCTCTCTCCCTACCATGGGTGGAACTGTGTCTCCTAAAAGAGGGTATGTTGGAGTCCTGACCCCCAGCAGCTCAGAATGCAGCCTTATTTGGAGAGAGGGTCTTTACAGAGGTAATTCAGTTAAAATCAGGTCATTAGTGTGGGCCTAATCTAATATGGTGTCCTTAGGAAAAGGGGAAATTTGACACAGAGAGAGACACACACAGAGGGAGACCACATGAAGACACAAGGGGAACAAGCCAAGGAAAGGTCTACGGCCAAGGAGAGAGGCCTCAGGAGGAGAGGGGCCTCTGGAGGAGAGGGGCCCCGGGGGGAGAAGGGCCCTGAGGGGAGAGGGGCCCCTAAGAGAGAGGCCCCGGGAGGAGAGGGGCCCCGGGGCGGGGAGAGGGGCCCCAGGGGGAGAGAGGGGTCCCAGGGAGAGAGCCCCTCCGACCCCTCGATCTTCTGGCCTGTGGGACTGTGAGAGCAAGAAACTGTGTTGGAGACGCCTGGCTTGTGGGCCTTTGCTCTAGCAGCCCTAGAGATTCATACCTACTCCTACTGCAGGTAAATCCGTTTCTGCCCCATGCGGCCCTGGGCCAGGTGATGACCCAGTGAGAAGTGTCAGGATGCGCCTGGAGGCCTTTGGCTCAGGGACCTGCAGCGGCTGTCAAGGCTCCAGTCAGAGCCCTGGGCCAAGTGGTTGCCGGACACACACACACACAGGTGCTCCGGGCCCCTCTGTCGCCCTTCCTCCCGCCCTCTTGCTGACTGTGGAATGGTCCCTGTGCTCCACAGGAGTCCCAGGTGATGTCTGTGTGTCTGTCCTGAGGGTACAGACGACTGAGAAACCATCTGATCCAACTCTTCATTTAATAGGAAGATTGGAAACCACTGTGGAACTCTGACTGCGAGTCAGCTCTGAGCAAGATCTCCTCCACGAAGACTTCCATTCTTGTGTTCCACTTCCTTGTTTTGGTAGAAGAGAGAACAGATTGATGCAAGATGACTCCCTCATCTTTTATGGCCAGGCCGTGCATCACTGCGTGACACTCCCATCACACTGCTCTCCTGAGAATTTGGCATTCACACTGGAGGTCTAACGATGACATGCAGCTCACTTTTAGCAGTGGGCACAGTGACGGCTGTGCCAGGGTCCCCAGGCAGAACTGCATGGCAGGTGCACATTCCCAGGCACCCTCCTGCCTCCCCGGACACTCTCTGCCACGGAGCCCCTCTCCCTGGTGCCCTCTCCAGTGGGTCCGACTTGAACCCGGGTCATCCCTAGCTATAAATATAGCAACATGCATGCGCGCACACACACAGACACACACACACAGCCTTCTTCTTGCCACAGATCAAACACAACTGGAAAACAATAAAGACGTGTGTGTGTGTCTTTTAATAATTGAAGTAATTCATACTAAGGGCTTAATCATCTCAGGAAGTTTTGCATATTAATAAGTGAGCTAATTAACTCAAAGATATATTTATTTTGCAAACTGTTTTGAAAGTATTCATGTATAGCTAGTTTTCTGACTTTTTTTTTCTCAAAGTTTTGTTTAACAGAAGTGTCAGGGGCGTACGTGGTAAAAATCCAGGCTGCATAGAAGAAAGGAAGCAAAGTGTGCAAGTGCCTCTCTCGAGCTTCCCTCCACCCTCGGTGCTGAGCCCTCCACTCAGGGAGCCCCGTGGAGCAGGCCCCGGTGTAAACTCCCCAAGGAGCACCATCGCATGCCCCTGGGGTTGTATGCTTTAAAATTGGCCCAATCGAGCCATTTTATGCCATTATTCACACAGTGTAGGCCCATGCTTTTCCCACTTAATATGTCATTGATCTCCTTCTCCATCCCCACATATAGATTGACCAAAGTCCTCAAGGAATACGTGATAAATGGATAAATGGCTGAATTGTTATCTTATGAAACATGTGAGATACTTTCCTGAGTGGATGTAGCACAATGTGTGACGGTCCCTGAGTGATGCGGATTCAGATGGTTTCTCTTCTTTGCTTCGTTTTTGCTGTTACAAACAGGACTGACAGGACCATCCTTCCATGTCTCTCCAGGCATGATTTTTGTGAGTGTACTTGTAGGATAAATTCCTAACAGGGAACTTGCTGAGTCAAAGGATATTTTCTTTAAAAATCATAATGAATGTTGCCAAATCCCTCTCCGCAGACTCGTACTCACGCACATTCCCACATCAGCTGTGGGTCTGCCTCGCTTGCCACTGACCACATCCGGGCATTCGTCATCTCTGTAGTTGAGGCCCATCTGGTAGGGAAAACGTGGTACATGTTGTTCAGATGTGCTGTATTGAATCCTGCAGGAGCTTTAGAGTCTCCTCATTTGGCTATTAGCCACGTTTACATCTCATGTGCGCACTGTCCCAGGACACTCACACGGGCACCCACTGCGGTGACTGCTCACCTTCTCCATGATCGTCTGTCTTAGGGATACACGGAAGCCCCTTAGGAAAAAAACAGCCACTTGTCAAATATGTCAGATGTTTCTTTCCAGACCATCGTGTTTTTAAACTTCTCTTCCCTATACAGGATTTAAATTTTATTCACATGGTCTAATCTTTTCATCTTTTCCACACTGGCTTTTGCTTAGGGGTGCTCATTTTAATAGCGGGAGAACTTGCTTTTAGGGTCATTGTCTTGTCCAATTAACCCTATTCCACTGCCATCTTGCAGTTTTTACTGTTGACTATTGATCCAAAGTAAGAGACTTTAAAAACAAAAAGACGCAAGATGAACAATGGCTTCAAATTCAACTTTAGAGGAAATAGTCTATCTGATTTCTAAATGCATAGAAGGTGTTTAAAAAATAATTGTTAGAAATTAAAGACCTAAATAACTGTAAAGACGGTTCATGTTCATGGACTGGAAGACTCAATATTGTTAAGATGTCAATGCTACCCAAGCAACCTACAGACTCAATGCAATCCCTCTCAAAATTCCAATGGCTCTTTTTGCAGAAAGGGAAAAGCTGATCCTCAAATTAATATGGAATTGCAAGGGGCCCCAAATAGCCAAAACAATACTGAAAAGAAAAAGTGAAGTTGGAAGACACACACTTCTTGATTCCAAAACTTAGTACAAAGCTATGGTAATAAAAATAGTGTGGCACTGGTAGATGCAATAGAATTGAGAGTTCAGAAAGAAACTCACACATCTATGGTTAATTGACTCTCAACAAGGATACCAAGTCCATCCAATGGGGAAAGAGTATTTTCTTCAAAAATGATGCTCAGACAACTGTATATCCACATGTAAAAGAATACAGTTGACCCCTACCTCACACCATGTACAAAAATTAACTCAAAATGTATCAACATTCTATATAAAAGAGCTCCAACCATAAAACTCTTGGAAGAAAATAGTATAGGGGTAAATCTTCATGAATTGGATATAGGAATAGATTCTTAGATGTGACATCAAATGCATGAGCAGCAAAATAAATAAAATAGATAAATTGGACTTCTCAAAATTAAAAACTTTTGTGCATCAAAGAACATTATCAAGAAAGTGAAAAGATAACCTACAGGATGGGAGAAAATATTTGGAAATCATATATCTTAGGTTAATATCCAGAATGTAGAGAGAACTCCTAAAATTCAACAATAAAAAGACAAACAACCCAATTAAAAAATGGGCAAAGGGTTTGAATAGACATCTCCAAAGATGGTATACAATGGCCAATAAGTACATGAAAAGATGCTCAACATCATTAGACATCAGGGGAATTCAAGTCAAAACCATTATGAGAAACAACTTCACATCTACTACAACAGCTGTAATTTTCAGAAAAAGGAAAAAACCAAGTGTTGGTGAGGATGTGAAGAAACTGAAACCCTCATGCACTGCTGGTGGGAAGGTAAAATGGTGCAGCTAACGTGAAAAACAATTTCGCAGTTTCTTAAAAAGTTAAACATAGAATTAATAGATGATGCATAAATTTCACTTCTAGGTCTATACCACAAAGGAATTGAAAGCCGGGACTTTAACAGATGCTTATACATCAGTGTTCATTGCAGCATTATTCACAATAGCCAAAAGTGGGGACAACCCAAGTGTCCATCCACAGAGGAACTGGTAAACAAAAGGTGGTCTATCCACACAATGGCACATTATTCAGCCACAAAAGAATGAGGTTCTGATATGTTCAAAAAACCTCGTAAACATAACGTTAAGTGAAATAAGCCAGACACAAAAAGAAAAATATTGTATGATTCCACTTACATGAAACACCTAGAATAGGTAAAGTCATAAAGGCAGAAAGTAGATTAGCGTTTACCAGGGCAGGGAGGAGGAGGGAATGGGGGATTATCGCTTGATGATCATAGAGGTTCCATTTGCGGTCATGAAAAAGTTTGCAACCAGATAGCGGTGATGGTTGCACAACATTATGAATGTAATTAACGCTTGCTACTGAATTGTACACTTAAAATGGCCAGAATGGTAGATTTTATGTTCCATACATTGTATCACAATTTGAAAAATAATAGTAATTTAATATACCCCAAACCACTGAATTTTGCAATTTAAATGGATGAATTGTGTGGTATGTGAATTACATGTCAGTAAAGCTGTTTAAAAAATTATTCTTGATCCAGCCTGGCCAGTAACTCTCGGTTACTTCAGATTTCATAACTTCCTTGCAGAGACACTTAGCAAACGTGATCATCTCCTGAAAATGATGAGAAAAAGAAGTAGCCCTGTGCTCACGTTCAGAGTCACAAAGGAATGCCTGGTGACCTCACCGGGACTTCAGAGCTGGCCTTTGCCACCACCTCTTTGGGATACAGAGTGAAGTGGGAAGCACGTCCAGTACCTCAGGTCAACTCCCAGGGCCTCAGTTACGCCATCAGCGAAGTTAGACGCTGGGACAGGTGTCTGCAGCCCCCCGATTTGGTGTTGCAGGAGCCAGCAGAGGACCAGGGAGATCCCGGCCATCAGCTTCTTTGCAGCCAGCTCCTCAGCTCTGCCTTCACTCCTTCACCCTGAAGGATGATGCGTACCTGACGCCTGAGCCGTCGGCAGTGAGTGGTCCCCCAGTGACCCGACCTGCTGTGTGGTATCTCCTACATTAACCACCTGGGGCACTTTCAGGCCACTTCATTTGCACCGGTCTGCACCAGGGCACCAAGAGGAAGCTGCACTTTCCACGGCACACGCTGGCACACCT